GCCCCACCGGGCCCCGCCGGCCGGCTGTCGGGGCTGCGCAGCCGCCTCAGGGCGCGGCCGCTCCGGCTGCTGCCGCTGCCCATGGCGCGCCCGCCTAGCAGGCCTGTGGCGCCGCCGGAACGCGGCCCGGGGGCGGGGACGCGGGACGGGGCGCGGCCGGGCCGGGGATGCGGACCCGGGCCGGGCGTGAGTGGGGGGAGGGGGAGATCCCGGGTCTGGGACGCGATTGGGGGCGGGGGGACGCGAGCCGGGCCTGGGGGAGGGGCGAAGCCACCGGTGTGCGGAACGTGGGGCGTGGTGTCGCGGTGGGGGCAGTAGATCCCGGGACAGGGGAACGTGGGAGGGGGCGCGACCGGGGCTGGGGTGCTGAGCCCGGCCTGGAGGTGGGGGCCGAGAGCCGCGGTGAGGGCTCTCTGGGAGCCGACGGCCGGGGGCGGGGAGCGAGGGCCGGGTATCCGGGCACTGGATGGCGAGGGCACTGGGGCGCGGCGTCCCCTCCTCCTCCGACTCCTTCCTCCTCCCTCCGGCCCGCCTCGGGCCCCGCCTCTCCTTGCGGGGTCAGCCCTCCAGGCTCTGGCTCCCCGTCCCTCTGGGTCCCCGCCGCCTGGAAGAACTGAAAGCACTGGGGCGCCTGCAACACGCCCAGACCGGCCTGCGTGGGGTGGTGATGAGTGCGGAGGTGACTCCACAGCCCGGCCCCTCCCGAGCTTAGAGCGCGATGGGGACTTCACCTCTCCCAGCCTCCTGTTCCTCACATGTTAAGTTGGGGGAAGGCGCCGGACGGTAAAAATACCTCTGAGGATGGAGTAAGATGATGAAGGTGCCGGGCCTCCCACCCTTCAATTTCTGCCCTGCTCCCTCGTGCGACCTAAGACAGGACAGAAGGAGGGAAGGGGGCGATTCTCCCGTACCGGACTCCCCGCTGCAGCCTTTCCGCAAAGGAGCCGGGCAGCAGGCAGTGGTGGGCCCTGGGTTTCCCGTCCCTGTCCTCCTGCCCCAAA